TCAAATTAGATTCAATAGCTGAAATAAAAGTAAATATTATTAAGCTGTAACGACAAATTTTGAATTAATTTCGATAAACACCTGAAACGCCGAAAATTTTCATTAGTATAATAGAACCTCGAATTCGTTTGAAATCAACATCCTATTCCTACCTATTCCATCCTAATCCAAAATAAAAATCTCGATTTCCCTAAACTCTCAAACTAATTTCGCGATTTCCGATTCGAAGGGGAATATTTAAAGACCGATAATAATTTATTAATAAATATCGATACTTGGAATTTACTGAAATTAATTTCAAAATAAAAATTTCATGTAGAATATGCAAAGTCTGATAGTACTTGCCCATAAGCATTAATAAATGCAGAACCAATTTAGTTTAATTAAAAAGAAAAGAAAAATTCAAAGTCTAATAGTAACTTTCCAAGTATCGATAATTCAGAATGCTAGTGTATGTTAAGTTTGAGAAGGCAGAGTGTGTATAGAGAGGACATAGGCTAGCTAGTAGCCCCCGACCACTCTATTCACATCTCAGAACCTTTAAGACTAATTTGCCGCGAAGTGTCTATGGCCCAGTATAAAGGGTGAATGAGTCGGGGGCTACTAGCTAGTCTATGTCCACCCTGTACACACTCAGCCTTCTTGTAACACTTGTATACATTAGAATCAATTAGAATTTCTATTACTAATTATTAAACAAATTTTAACAATTACCGGCACTCGCTAGGCACGTAATATCAGACTTTAAATACTCGACTTCGAACTTCGGTTTAGTCATAATTCTATTAATGTTATAATAACGTATAATTTATTAATTTTCACAATTTTATTATTAATTTATACTTCCAAAAATTTGTTAAAACATTACATATTATTATTTATACATTTTTGCAAGTTTCTTTGACAAATAAGTACGTTTCAACGATCTTATTACTTTCTCGTTGTGAAATCAAGTTCGGAGGATTAAAAATCAGGTTGACCCTTGGTCGTAAATTTAAAATAGCCATAGTGAAGGTGAAATTATTATTTTAAATAAATGTTTCTATACGAATTAAGAATCTATTCAACGTTTGTTTGTTGCAATACCGTGAAATAAATTGTATTATATATTTTCTCAGTTTAGACTGAATTTAAAGTTCGTAAGGATTAGAAATCAGGTTGACCTGTGGTCGTAGATTAAAAATAGCCATAGTGAAGGTAAAATTATTACGTTAAATAATTGTTTTTATACGAATTAAATATTGATTCAACGTTTATTTGTTGCAATACCGTGAAATAAATTGTATTATATATTTTTTCTGTTTACACTAAATTTAAAGTTCTGTTTACATGTTATAACAATTAGAATGTAGACGTTTTGCCGTTTCACGGTTTTTCCTCTGTTAATTATGTGTTTATAAATCATTTCAAACTAAAGCAGCACCATGCCCACCCTTAATTAAACCGTCTCAGTAGTTTACCGTAATTAATAATCTATTTTCGGAATTTATACGAGAATTTTTGAATTTTAGTAAATACTAGAGTCAGTGTCCACCCTGTACACACTCAGCCTTCTTGTAACACTTGTATACATTAGAATCAATTAGAATTTCAATACAATAGACTGAATAACAATTCATTTTAACTAATACCTATTAGAAATTTTCCTTTTAAAACAAATATAAATCATTTTACCAATTACTGGTACTTGCTAGACATTTAATATCAGACTTTAAATATTCTCCTTTCGGTTCTTTTAAATACAATCAAATAATTTCTTCAATTATCGATACTGACTTGGAATACTCCGCTTCGAATAAAATATTTCGAAATTATTTTGAAGGTTTAGGGAAATAAACATTTGAATTTTAGTCATCGTTGTTCTTCAGACTTGTCGAATAGGATATTGAAATTACTTTGAGAGGTTGCTTTTTCGTAATAGCAATTGAAATTAATTTGAAATTTTTCTTTCAGTATCCTTGTGGAACTTGTAACGAATGCTGCTCCTAATTCTTAACACTTGCTGTAAAATTATTAGTTTTTGCATTTTAACAAAGTGAATTAATATTCCTAATTCTTATAAAATTATTAATAAACGTGAAATATTCTTGTAACGGTAATCTTATGAGAAATACTCGTATAATTAATTCTGAAATTTTTGCTTACATGTTATAACAATTGTAACGTTTACGTTTTGCTGTTTCGCAGTGTTTTCTCTGTGAATTCTATGTTTCGAATTTATTTCAAGCTAAAGTAACGTCTGTGTACTGCAGTTCAACCTAATTTACTTAAATTCGAATTACGATACAGTATATTTACAATTCTACCTGAATTTTCGAAATTATAAACATCACCAGTAAACTTCCATTGCATGTAAACAATATTCTCCACTAATCGGTAATTATAAAGTAATTATAAAGCAATTATAAAGTAATTACCGAAAAATATACACTTACATTCTCATGTTGGATCATTTACCTCTCTTCTTCTCGTCTGTTCACACATTCTCTCTAACTCTCCCAATTTCGTTATCCAATCGTTCCTATTTACTCTCATTTTCAAATTTCACACGTTATTCGCTATTATCCTCCCTTAACAAACCAACAAATCCCAGCACAATTAAAACAAAAATAATACACTACCAGCTTTTAAAAGAAATATAAATCATTTTACCAATTACTGGTACTTGCTAGACATTTAATATCAGACTTTAAATATTCTGCTTTCGGTTCTTTTAAATACAATCAAATAATTTCTTCAATTATCGATACTGACTTGGAATACTCCGCTTCGAATAAAATATTTCGAAATTATTTTGAAGGTTTAGGGAAATAAACATTTGAATTTTAGTCATCGTTGTTCTTCAGACTTGTCGAATAGGATATTGAAATGACTTTGAGAGGTTGCTTTTTCGTTACAGCATTAATTTGAAATTTTTCTTTACTTTCTCTGTTATTGAATTTATTTTATGACTTGCTATTTTGTTTACTAATAATTTACCATCCAAGGAATTTGCATGAATTGCGTGTAAAGTGGTTAGTTGATTTATTATTGTATATTGTGAGCTGATTTGAAACGAGTGGACTACACTCGTGCACTATGTCCACCCTAAATTAAACCGTCTCACTAGTTTACCGTAATTAATAATTTATTTTCGGAAGTCATACGAGAATTTTTGAATTTTAGTAAATACTAGAGTCAGTACATTGCGTATTGAAATAATAGCTTCATCCCTAGTTCGTTTATTATTGAATATTTTTACGCGTTTAACTTATGCTTCTCCCCCATTCTCGTCGCGTATTTTATTCAAATTTTCTTATATTCTAGAATCGAAAAAGATACGAATTCTCGTTTTTTCTTTTGATTCTTTCAATTTTTCACTCGCGTTCTACGAAAGTTTAGTTCTATAATAATATTGAAAATAATATAAATTCGCGGTTTCTCCCTTTCTGAATAAAACTGAAATAAATCGCGTTTCGAAGTACTTTTCGCGTCGTCCATTCCACAGTGACTTACACTTTGTAAGTTTGTGAGTCTTGCAAAATCGATCGGAACTGGGAGGAAGGAAGGAGGAAATGCAGTCAAATCCACGTTGCAAAGCTCAGCTGTTTAATCAGCGAACAGTGAGTTACCAAAATGGGTTTTTTTCTGGTGATTTGGTTTAGTAGTTAGTTGTGTTGTGTATTGCCAGCTCAAATATGAGCTGGCTGCCCCAAATTAAACCGTCTCAGTAGTGTTTCGCAATTAAAAATCGGTTTTCGGAATATATGCGAGAATTTTGGCCGCCTGACAGCAACCTGTAAATCTGGCGTGACAGGGAACGTGTTAATAAGTATATGTTGTTCAAATTATGTCGTGTTTTATGTCATTTTTATTAGAAAAATCTCATCAATATGTTAAGAAAAATTGCGAGATAAAAAAACGTAAAATTAAAAAAGTTGATATTTATATCGTTTAGTTGCCTTGATTCACGTTTTATGCTTATCTTTTATTCGCTGTCCTTGTCTACGTTCGGCAAACTACAAAGACGGGCGCGAGGCTCGAAAACGTAGTCCCTGACTCTAGGAGTGTCAGGTTTAGCTTCCTTACGGTCTGACACTTGGGGAGAATATACTGTATATACAATCCAACCATCAAAGATGGTAAAGTCGACAGATGTAGCAAATCCTCTTTTGGTATCTCTACATAATAAAATCCGTGTATACATTGGTTTGCGTGGGTAGAACTGTTCGTGATCTTTTGACAGCAATAGAACATGCGCGTGTGGTGAATCATTAATAATAAACAATTACGTTATCTTCTTATTTGTATTCTTTATTGTTACATTTAGTTGTAATTCCAACTACTGTTAATATTGTAATCTTATTCTATGCTGTGTCGGTAACGTTGGGAGCGACACGAAAATAGTAAGGGGCTCTCTCGGCCCTCGTACCGCGAACAAAAAGTCCCATAAGATGTTCAATCTATCCTATAACGTCATCTGTACTATTATTGGTTGATATAAAACTTCAGTTTTAATATTTCATAAATAAATTAGTAATTTCACTAAAACATAATATTATTGAAACGAAAACTTCTTTAGAACAATTATACTTGTATTAATCAAAATATGTATTTTCCTAACCTTTTTATGAAAATGACAATAAGAGTGTTTTAATGGACATAATATAATACATACAACAATATTTAATAATATAAATTTTCACATAAATGAGAATGTGAATATTCCAAAA